GGGATGTACAGAGGGGGTGTATGGGGATGGAGGGATGTATAGAGGGGGTGTATGGGGATGGAGGGATGTATAGAGGGGGTGTATGGGGATACATAGAGACAGACAGACAGACAGCCCGGCTAGCAGTTCTCTGTGCTCTGGATGGGGGAGGGGAACACCCTGGCCGTCCCAGGGTTTGCCCCTGAGCGGTGGGTGTGTTTCCCATCCCCTGGGGGCTCCCCGGGGCCCGGTGCTGGTGCCAGGGTGACGCCGCCGCCCCACGGGCCCGCTGCCGGCCCCGCTCTGCCGGTAATGGCTGGGATCCGATTACCGCTGCTGCGGCGGTAGATTAGCCGCGCCAACAAAGGGGATTTTCCTTAAGGAGGCTTAATATTGAGTCGTGTCTAAGAGGGTTTGCGGGGACAGGGGTGGGGCTGAGCGGGGCCATGTACATCCCAGACCCCTCTCTTCCCGCCCCTCCATCCCCACGCACATCTCTCTCCCCATGTACATATCCCATGCCCCCTGCCCAGCTGACACCTGTATCAATTGTCTAGAATTCCCCTGTTGCCCGCCTCTCTCCCTGACCTCTGCTCCCTGCCTTCTCAGACCTCAGGCCCCGCGGGCCAGGGACCGAGTATTTGCCTGGGGCCTAGCCGGCCCTGGGCTAAATGCAGAGGTAACTGAGCTACCCGTGTGACTGGTATTAACCCCCTCCCCTTGGGGAGGACGCCTGCTCAGCGCTCCCCGGGCCCTTTCCCCTCCCCACACCCCGGCCACCGCCGGGGAGAGGATTTGGCCGGGTTAATCAACATGCGCGGGGCGTCCCCGTTTATCTCCGCACCGGGCCTCTCGTGGCGGATTAGGGGAGGATTAACGGCAGGCGGCTCCGCCAGTGCGCCGCGCGGGGTGGAATCTGTCTCCTGATGAGCTGGGGGCAGGGGTGGGGGAGAATTTGGCCTGGCTGGATGGCTGGGTTCAGGGCCTGAAACAGGGGCGGCTTCAGTGAGCCTTGTTTGCGTCGCTTCGTGCCCTCCTCGAGCCCTGGTGCCGCAGTGGCTGCCTGAGTCTGCAGAGAGCCTGAGCCCGTCGCTCTGAGGGGGGAGCTGCCCCGTGCAGAGACGCTGCCTGCAGAGGGCTCCTTGTGGGGCAGGAGCGGGAGACAACAGTGGGCCCAGCCCCCTAAGTAGAGATACCGCAGCTGTGCGGACAAATGCTCCAGCCAGGGCCCGCTGGGAAGGTCAGTGGCACTCCCTCTGCCATGCCGAATGGGGCGGGGTTATTGTGTGGGGGCGGGGCTACGGGTCAAGGTGCCCCTGGTGGGCGGGCGACTGGTCAAGGTTTGCCATTGGACACCAGATTATTTTACTCCGCCCCTGGTGGTAACATGGGCTGACCCCCCGACACACACACACTCACAACCTGCCAGGTAGGGGGAACTTAATCACGGGGGCCCAAAGCTAGAGAGAAAGGGGGAAAGGAAAGCGAGAATCTCTGGAAACCCCCCTGCTCGGCTCCGTCGTCTCACGGCCGATTGTGGAGCAGGCCCCAGAGAAACGCCCTGAGAAATGTCCCGCGTAATTTCCAGCTCACGAGGAAAAGCTCCTTGTACCGCTCCGGCACCGGAGCAGCCCCTGCCAGCCCGGCGCGGTCAGGCCCGGCCTCTGTCTTCGCCCCCTTCCGAGCCTCCTTCTCCTCCCAGCTGGGTTCCCTGCCTCTTGCTCCGCTTCCTGCAGAGCGGCACTGACTCCCCCCGGGTGATGCCATCCTGGATGGGGCCCGAGCCTGAACCCCCTCGGGGGGGCGCTAAGAACAGGCCTCGCGGCCGCACCAGCTAAAGCCCCGACTCCCCCTTGTGGGTGACGGCAGCCCAGAGACGTCTCCCGTTGATCGGACCCCAGAGAGGGGTGTAGACAGAGGGGTCCGTGCTCTGGGGTCCGTGCCCCCCTCCAGCTGCCCAAGGAGCGGCAGAGGGAAACCCATCAGGTCTGCTCGGTGACTCCGGGGAAGGGGCACAGGGCACAGCTGTTTGGGGAGCAGGTGAGCCCTGGAGGGGGACCCCAGCCCAGTGCCACGCCCCTCATGAGCTAGGAGATCATCTCCCGCTGGAAGACTCCGGGACACCAGCCGGAAAGTACTAGATCCCCTCTTCTGAAGGGAGACTGTCACCTCCTCTAACCACTAGACCCCACTCCCCTCCCAGAGCTAGGCAAAGAACCCAGGCGTTCTGATGCTCAGAATTCCGGAGTCTTCTGGGACTAGTATTCCATGCTCAACGTTCCTGAAAGGAAGCACATAGGGGTGCGTGGGGGGTTAATATGGGGAAGGGGTTTGTATCCCAGGAGCCACCGGCGGTGGGCATGAGGACGGTCCTTTGAGGTGGCATGTGAAGGAAACTGGAGCACAAAAGGCGATCGCAGGATTGCTGGATTTCTGTAGGCGGCGGGGAGGAGGGGCGTGTGCGCGCGTGTAGGGGGCCCTGTCAAGGGCTGCCTTAGCACAAGATGTACAATCAGACCGAGCTGGCAACCTGAGCTGTTTAATTGATTTGTTTCATGTGAAGAAATGGATTCCTGAGGTGAGGGGGAGAGGGGCCGGCTGGGTTCCCTCCTGAGCGGGAATGCCGTATAACTCCTTTCCCCCCGTTAGCTAGCCAAAGGTCACCGGGTCTGATTCCCAGCTACCCCCATCCCTGCTCATGGGAAGAGTTAAGGTGGCATTAAGCCCCCTTTCTGCTCCCTGTATTCTGAGCCTGGCCCCCTATGTCAGTTAGAGCAGCCTCAGGGCTGCTCTAACACATGTTCTGCCCCCTAAGGGCCCGGTGGGGGGGGCAAGGAATAGCCACAGTGCAGTGTGCTTCAGCCACGCCCCCAATCCGCCCCCTAAGGGCCCTGGGGGGCAGAGAATAGCCACAGCGCAGTGTGCTCCGGCCATGCCCCCGATCTGCCCCCTTCTCCAGAGTCTTGGAGCAGGACCCTTATGCCAGTTGTGCACACGTACAGCCGTACACACTTGTGTGCATCCAAACACACATGTGTAGGCAGAGATCCGTTACATGCCCATGCACAGCATGTGTGCGTATGCACGCACACGATTAGAATGCAAAAACTAGATGAATGATAAACCCCGAATAATACACACACCACGGCCCATTGAGAAGAAGGTTAATTCGTTTCTGGGAGGAAGGCATCTCAAAGAAGGGGTTTTTGCATATATTTATACTTACAAAAGCCGAAAGTGCTCATTAAATATATTTACACTCCAGAGTGAAAACCACAGGAGTCTTAATCTTCCGAAACTTTGATATTCCGGCTACTTTCATTAAGATGCCAAAAAAAAGGGTTGAGGGGAAAGAACCTCAGTCAGTATAAATAGACCGAGCTACGGCCCATTCACGCCCGCTGGGGATCTGGCCCCATTGACTCCGATGGAGCGACGCCCATTCACACCCGCTGGGGATCTGGCCCCATTGACTCTGATGGAGCTACGGCCCATTCACCCCCGCTGGGGATCTGGCCCCATTGACTCCGATGGAGCTATGGTCCATTCACCCCCGCTGGGGATCTGGCCCCATTGACTCCGATGGAGCAACACCCATTCACCCCCGCTGGGGATCTGGTCCCATTGACTCCGATGGAGCTATGGTCCATTCACCCCCGCTGGGGATCTGGCCCCATTGACTCCGATGGAGCTATGGTCCATTCACCCCCGCTGGGGATCTGGCCCCATTGACTCCGATGGAGCTATGGTCCATTCACCCCCGCTGGGGATCTGGTCCCATTGACTCCGATGGAGCTATGGTCCATTCACCCCCGCTGGGGATCTGGCCCCATTGACTCCGATGGAGCGACGCCCATTCACACCCGCTGGGGATCTGGCCCCATTGACTCCGATGGAGCGACGCCCATTCACCCCCGCTGGGGATCTGGCCCCATTGACTCTGATGGAGCGACGCCCATTCACACCCGCTGGGGATCTGGCCCCATTGACTCCGATGGAGCGACGCCCATTCACCCTCGCTGGGGATCTGGCCCCATTGACTCGGATGGAGCGACGCCCATTCACCCCCGCAGGGGATCTGGCCGCATTGACTCTGATGGAGCGACGCCCATTCACACCCGCTGGGGATCTGGCCCCATTGCTTCTAGAAGCAGCTCTGAGACTCCCTCATGATTTAAAGACCCCAAGTGGTTCTGGCTGTGAAGTCCCTGCCCAGAGGATCTGACGTGATATGAGCACCGTTCAAATCCCCCGGGGGTATATGTGGGGCTTACCTGGCTCTCAGGCCCCTGGGTACTGGGGTGTGGATTGCACCCCTATGTTCTCTCACAAGCTCCTCACTCATGTAAAGTCTGGTGCTTAAGTGTTCCCCGGATCGGGGCCTTTTGCTGCTCCTCTGTGGGCTCTTTGTAATTCCCTCCCCGGAAGACCCCACTATATTTTACTCTCTCTTTAATTGTGGCTTGAGATTTCACATCAGCAGAGGAGGCGGGGTCTGCATTTGTGCAGGCCTATGTCTTTCGGTCTATCTCCCACCCGCATGCGGCAAGACGAGACTGGAAAGACACCCCGGCCAACCTGCCGCGGCCGGCTCCACAGAACCCTGCAGGTAACATGGGAAAGAGGCACGCGAAGATGGCTCCTCTGTGTTTTAAATCCAGGTCGCCAGCCGGTGTAAACTGGTCTCGATCCAAACCAGCTGGGGATCTGGCCCAGTGATTTCCATGGGAGGAACCGAGCCCCTGAGAGTTTCTCTGTTGTACCCCATGAAACAGCTTGCTGTTGGAATGCGTCTCACGTGGGATTGGGGGATGACAGATCCCTTTAAATTAAACTTTCTCTTTGTCACTGCAAGATAAATGGTTTGAAGGTTTTCCCCAGTCAAGCCTGCCAGGGCTCCATCCTAAGGGATGGGATGGCTCAGTGCTGACTGCCGCATTTGAGACATGAAGTGACACATTCAGCGCAAATGGCTCATTCAAAGGCCTCCCAGATGCCACTCACTCACGCACATTACTCACCGGAGCAGGCAGAAATCCTCTGCTGGCAGAGCCCTGGCCCCATCAAAGTGGGAAAGGGTTTGGCCACCCGGTTGTCGAACAGGTGAAAATGTTTCCAGCCGAATGTTTGTTGCCACTGGAAAGTGCCAGTTCTTCAAAATCAAACCTTCCCACGGGAACGTGTCAATTTCGGTGAATTTTCATTTAGGAAATAGAAATCAATCAAAAAGCATTTCCCAGGATGTCAAAACATTCCATTTGGACATTTTCAGCATACGATGCTTGGATTTCCTTCAGGTGGGAACTGACTCTTCATTTCAAAACCGATTTTCTTTTCGAGTAGAACCTGATTCTCTGAGCACCGATCTCAGGAGCGACCGGTTTTGGAAATTCAGAGAATCCATTGTCATCATCAAATCTGTCCTCCGTATAACGCGGGCCAGGGAACTGCCCCCGGATAAGCCCCAGAGCCGATCTGTTAGCAAAACACCCAGTCATGATTTTAAAAATTAAGAACCCACCACGACCCTTGGTCCATTGTTCCAGTTGTCAATTACCCTCACTGTTAAAAATGTTCGCCTTATTTCCAGTCTGAATTTGTCTAGCTTCATCTTCCAGCTGCTCCTGTTAGACCTTTCCCTGCTAGACTGAAGAGCCCGGGATTAAAGATTTGTTCCCCATGGAGGTGCTGATAGACTGGGACCAAGTGACCCCCTTAATCTTCTCTTTAGGCTAAATAGATCGAGCTGCTTGAGTCTCTCGCTCTAAGGCAGGATTTCTAACCCTCTGATCCTTTTCCTGGCTCTTCTCTGAACCCTCCCCAATTTGTCGACCTCCTTCTCGAATTGTGGGCACCAGAACCGGACACGGGATCCCAGCACCAGGGCCAAACACGGAGGGAAAATAACCTCTTTGCTGCTACTCGAGATTTCCCCGTTTAAGCATCCCAGGACCGCATTTGCTTTTGGGGTCCCAGCGTTGTAGGAACCATATTCCCATATTCGTCAGCCAACGTTCAAGCTGTCCTGGTTTGAAAAGACTGAGAAATTGGGCGGCAGTTCTCTCAAAGAAGGAAACCTCCGGCTCCCTGGGTCCGCTTATCACCATCTGTGATGCACTTCATCACAGAACGATTCACCGGTGAACATATGCTCCGTCCCCGCGGTCGCGCTGTGATGGCTCATGTTCTGAACGTTTCGATTTTGTGATCTCCTCCGGCCCTGGTTCGTTCATGAAATAGGGGTGCGGCTGGCTATTCCAAACGAAACCAAATAAAACGTCGAAATCCAAATGAAGGGTTCACGTGACCTGGAGAAAATATATATTTTGAAATTTTCACGGGAAAGGTCAAACTTGTCTCCCTGCAGCGTCCAGAACGAATCCTCTGCCCTCCCAGGAACCCATAAATCTCCCCCCGATTTCTCCAGCCCCTCCAGAAGGGGTGGCTAAATTGGCAGGCGTTAGGCTGGGCCGGCAGGCTGGCATTGCCCACGCTGGTGTGTTGAGCGAAGCCGGCACCTGGCTGCCACTGGGCTGGTGAGCTCCCGCCCAGAGCCGCCTTCGTCTGTATTGCAGGGGTTCATACCGCCAGCGAGGGACTTTCCATTATCCCACCCCCTTTATCCTAGACCAGTTGCCGTTGGATGCGGAGCTGGGCTGGCACCAACTTCCCTGGGCTAATAGAATTGGGCAGGACGCCCTGTGCCAGCTTCTTGCCGTCACTTGCCTCCCACTTCTCCCCACACAAGCCAGGCTGAACCCCACTGGGTCCCCAGACAGAACTGAGCACAGAGCCGGGCCTGGCGGCTCCATTTTCCCAGTGCCCCCGGCCTGGTGTAGCATCCTGCAGGATCGGGGCCCTCCTGGCCAGCTGGCGTAAGAGGGCCCAGAGCCGCCGGAGGAAAAAGGGCTAAAAATAAAAGCCTCACTCGAGCGAGAGAACCCCCTTCACACACACACACACCCCTCCGCTGCCCAGGGCACCTCACCTTCCTCCGCCCCACTCAAGTGAGAGAGCCCTCTTCACACACCCCTCCGCTCCCCAGGGCACCTCACCTTCCTCCGCCCCACTCAAGTGAGAGAGCCCTCTTCACACACCCCTCCGCTCCCCAGGGCACCTCACCTTCCTCCGCCCCACTCAAGTGAGAGAGCCCTCTTCACACACCCCCTCCGCTGCCCAGGGCACCTCACCTTCCTCCGCCCCATGGCTGCCTGCCACAACCCGCTTGTGTCGCAGGAGCGGGGAAGGGAGCTGACAACAGAGGCAGTGGAGTGGGGTTGTTGCCTGCTGGAGAAGCGGCCCGCGGGCTGGTTCTCAAGGGCAGAGCCGGAGAAAGCGGCGGGGGTGGGGGGGGAGAGATCTAGAGATAGACAGTCACATGCACACACATGCACAAAAACACACACACACAAATACACAACCCCACTTCCCCAGGCCCCTGCACACAGTCACCTCCCCGTGCACAACCTAGTCCCCACCTGCACCCCTGCACTCACCCCCCCCAATGCGCGCACGGCCCCCCTGTGCACCCCAGCGCCACAGGATCCGGGGTTGCCCCAAACTAGAGGCTGAGAAAGCCGCCGGAGGGGAGGAGCCGTCCCTGGGCCAGGCGCTGCTCTGGGGACTCCCGGGAGACGCCCCGCGCCCAACGTCGCTCTGGGGGCCTGGCCTCTCCTGCCTGGCTGTGGGGACTTCACAGCCCCAGCCTGGTTCCCAGCCGGGCTCCTCCTTTGTTCCCACCCTGCTCCGGGCTCTTGTCTCTGGTGCTGGTTCCTGGCCCCGCTGCCACCGCTCCCACCACTAGGCCCGGCTGCCTTTGCTCCAACTACCAACCATGACCCCCCCAGACCTCTTGTTTTTTGAAACAGGGCCCAACCCCCGCACCCACACCAACGGGGGAGGTTCAGATTGGGGGAGAGGGGGGGATGTGCCTTGGCTTTGTAGCCTGGCATGATGGAGCCGAAGAGCTTTCCACGAGAGCAAAGCTCTCCTCAACTCATTCCCGCTCAGATTCTGTCTTTTCGGGACCATCTGCTTCCTCACTTCCTGTCCCAAACTGCCATGTGGCTGTTTAGCAGCTGCTGCTCCCCACCCCAGAGGTGGCTGCCTCTCAGCCCTGGGTAAGGGATCCCTGTACAAGCAGCTGCCACACCCCACCCCAGAGGTGGCTGCATTGTGGTGCTGGGTGAGGGATCCCTGTACAAGCAGCTGCCGCACCCCACCCCAGAGGTGGCTGCATTGTGGTGCTGGGTAAGGGATCCCTGTACAAGCAGCTGCCGCACCCCACCCCAGAGGTGGCTGCATTGTGGTGCTGGGTAAGGGATCCCTGTACAAGCAGCTGCCACACCCCACCCCAGAGGTGGCTGCATTGTGGTGCTGGAATCCCTACATGAATATCCTGTAAGAGACACTTGGGCTCCTTTGGGTTAGAAGGTGCCCCCAGGAGTCAGGACGCCCGGGTGCCAGGGACTCAGCCCCACTCCATGGGGAGAGGCAATGGACTGGGGGGAGGGGAGGGGGCCCAGGTGGGGCTGGGAGCAGTCAGATAGGCAAAGGATCAGCTGTGTGGGGGGGATTGTGCTGCACACACAGACATACACACACCATGCGCACACACAGACACACACACACACACAGTCAAGGTCACTCAGGAATGTCGCTCCCCTGCAGCTGGCATTACCGGGGCTGCTTGCCGTGTGATGGCAGCTGCTGGCGGGGCGCGGAGGCTGCCAGACGACCTTGACGGGCCGGCTAGACCCGGCGGAGGAGACGCCGGCTCCCCACCCCTCTCTGGGAGGTGCCCCCGCAGGGCCGGGCTGAGGGTTAATGCGGGTGCTGACATTGCCGGGGGCGGGGTGGACAGAGGACACCGGTTCTCAGTCCAGGCCCTTAACTGAGGCTTGATTTCTGTCCCCCCATTTCCAGTCTGTGACCCCCAAACCCCCTTACAGCCAGCAGCGGGGGGGATTGGTGGCTAAGGAGCTAGATTGGAGGTCAGGACTCCTGGGTTCTGTGCCTGGCTCCGGGACTGACCGTCTGAGCATGGGCACATCCTGCCCCCACTCTGGGCCTCAGTTTCCCCTCCTGCCCCTCGTTTGTCTTGAGAGTGAGCTTTCTGGGGCAGGGGCCGTCTCTCACTCCGTGGCTGTGCAGTGCCCGGCGCGACGGGGCCCTGATCTCCGCGGAGGCCTCTCCTGAGCTCCCGTAGCTTTAACTAGCGCAGCTCCTGGGCCGATTCACACCGGTCACGCCCCGCCCTCTCTGCTGCCAGCGCCACGTGGCGGGAACGTGTCGCTCCCAGGGGAGGCTTTGACGCCGCCCTCTCCGTGGGTGGCTGGTTAGGGGCTGGATCTGCAGCTCGGCCTGGCTCCGTAGGTACCTGGGGATCTTTGTCCTTCCTGGGGCTGGAATCTCGCCAGCCCCCCAAGATCACTGCGGGCCCCCATTGGGAAGTTAAGCCCAGGGCTGCCCGCAGGGCCCTTAGACTAATATCCCGACAGCTCCTGTCCCGGATATAGGTGACCCTCACCCCTCGGGGCCATGCGGTTAACACTCCGTGGCACCGGCCACTGGCAGACGCCAACCTGGCCACGGGTTAGAAAGGGCAAGGAATCAGCAGGAGCCCTCACTCGTGCCGTGGAGCAGGTCGGTGGTGGTATCCCCGTGTTACCAAATGGGGAAACTGAGGCAGGGAGCAGGGACGTAGCTTGTGCCAGGTCACCGGGCAGGTTGGTGGCCGAGCCGGGACTAGAACCAGGTCTGCTGAGTCCAAAGGCCAGTGCTCACCCAACGAGGCCACACAAGTGTGAGTGTGAGTGTGTGTGTGTGTACACATTTGTGTTTCATAGTGTGAGTGTGTGTTTGTGTGTGTGAATGTTAGTGTGTGTACAGAGCTGTGTGTTTGTTAATCTGTATATGTCAATGTGTGAGTCCTTGTTTGTGTGTTTGTTAGTGTGTGGGTGTCTAAGCGTGTGTGTGTGTGTGTGTAGCTACTGTGTCGCCTGACCGAGCTGTGCTGGGTTCACTGTTGCAGGCAGGACTGGGGGAATGCAGGCTGGCACCCAGGAGTTGCCGTGTGGAGTGTGTGTCTGTGTGCAGCGCCTGTCTGTGGTGTGTGTGAAATCTCCGGGGAAGGCGCCATGTCCCGCATGAGGTGGGGGGACGTAGAGTCTTTGTCCCACCGAGCAGCCGGCATCGGTGCTTGGTTTGGCCCTGCCGCTAAGTGACTCCCCTTGGCACATCTCACTCCTCCAGCCTGGCCTCTCCTCTCCCAGCTGATGCAGCTGCTGGTGCTGGCCCAGGGAATAGCCAGCGTCTGCGTGCCGCTGCCCCCTGCTGTAGGGATTTGCAACCATGCTGCCGTGTGTCCTAGCCCCTATAGCACTACCACCCAATGGGGATTCTCCGCCAGGTCAGAGGAGGTTGCAGGGCTGGGGTTCTAGACCAGCAGGAGCTGAGCTCTGCCCCCTGCTGCTGCCATGGCATTCAGGGGGGCTGCAGAGGCCAGCCAGGGCAGTGCTGTGAGAGTGCAGAATGGATACAACCCAAGGGAGACGGGCTGGCCCCAGAAGACGGGGTCTTTCCCCGCCAGGGGGCACCGGCTGTGAGCCAGACCCCATTCCCAGGGACTGGTTCACTCAGATCTCACGGGTTCTGTCGCCGGCTCTGGGCAGGGAGTGGGGGCTAGTGGTTAGAGCGGGGGGGGCTGCGAGCCAGGACTCCTGGGTTCTCTCCCCAGCCATGGGAGGGCAGTGGGGTCTAATCTGAGCGTTGCCCCCATCCTGAGTGCGAATAGCCCAGCAGAATGCCCCCCCCCCCGCCTCCGGCCCTCTGGGGCACTTGGCTCAGAGCTCCCAGACGCTGAGAAATTCATTTCGCTGCAGAATCGGGGGTGGGGTGGGAATCCGCTGCAGTGAACAAAATCCAGGTGGCGGGGGCGGGGGCAGCTCGCTGCAGCTGGAAAGGAGGGGGGAGGAGAGTAAAAGCTAGAAATAAATGGGGCTTGTCAGGAAAGCAAAGTATAAGGGGGGGAAAGGAACTGGGGGCATTGGCAGAGCTGAGGGCTGGTTTAACGGGGGGCTGCGGGTCGGGAGTGAGGGGCTCCCCGAGCTGGACGAGCTGCCACTCACGGAGGCCGGCGTGGGCCTCTCACACCCCGACCATCTGTGCCGTGTGCCCGGGGCGCGATGCCACCAGAGGGCCCTGCAATCTGCTCCGGCTGGTGGCAGGGGCAGCCGGCGGCGGCCGAAGCTGCCAAGCAGCTCGCGCTGCTCGCCCAGTGACTGGCAGAGAGAACAACCACGTGAGCCCAGGCTGGCACGGAGCGGTGCTCCTCACTCCCGACCCGCAGCCCCTGCTAGGCCAGCCCCGGGCTCCACGCCTGCCCTGCCCATCGCCCCTCACCTCCCGACCCGCA